AGTGGACACACATTCACACCGGAATCGGTCCTCAAATGACAGATAACTCAACAATACTTCACACAAATCGTCGCCAAACCTATCCATTGAGTCCAACAAATACTTTGAGACCATTTTATTAATAAACATAAAATATAATAAATATTATAAAAACTATTTTCAAAATATTATAAATGATAAATAAATGTAAAGTTATTTTATTTTGGATCACAAAAAAGCAAATATTAAACGTAAGTATAATGTTTACGGTTAGAGTGATGTCAACACAAACCATACAATCTCTACATAATATGTTGCTATGGAAATGATTTACGGATTTTATGATTGCATGTATGTTTGAAACACGTTTGAATTAATTTCAAATAAACATCTACAATAAATATTTCTATTATTTATACATTAGTTCATTACAGTTAGCACTAAACAAGTTTCGCGAGAAAAGTTATGGTTTAGCATTTATTTAGAATAATTTGGTAATAATACCTAACACCACATTAATTAATAATTACGCTCAATTGAAATTAAAATAATACTCGGTCAAATAGTTTTGTTTGCCGCGATTATCTTATAATTTTAAAGCTAAAGTTTATACGAAATAATTAGATGTTGTAAAAAGCATATCGGGTGTTTATCCATGGGGGACAAAAGTAATTCGCCTCCCATTTCAAAACCCCTTGGTCGATTTTAATGAAATAAAGTTTACTTTATAAAGCAAATGTGGGAAAATTATATTGTAAAGTTATACGGTAAAAATAACGTAGTATGGCCAGATTTTTAACATGATTTTAAAGGAATGCGTTTTTCAAAGTTTTAAAGTTATAAACTTCTAAGTTAACAAATTGTAATGTTGTTTATGATTGGACAATGTTTAATGTTGATCTTTTACTAAATTGTCAAGTAGTGGTTGACAGGGGTGATGTAAAAGCCCAAGTGTTTCACTTCAATTCACAGACAATCGCTGAACTCAAAAATTCAATTTTGGATTTCATTAAAGCATAGCAATCAATAGGATTGAACGTGCAATTGATAATTACCCGAAACGGCTTCACCATATGGTCACCAAGGGTGGTGGCCATTTTAAATCTATTATACATTAATTTCCCATATTTCATCTTTAAAATAAACTTTATTTCATTAAAATCGTCCGAGGGGTTTTGAAATGGGAGGCGAATTACTTTTGTCCCCCATAGAAAAACACTCTGTATAATAGTGTAAATATTATTTATTATTATTAATATTAACTTATTTATCAACATGGTAAATATTATTTATTATTATTAATATTAACTTATTTATCAACATGGTAAATATTATTTTATAATAAAATGTTATTAAGATAATATAAAAAGATTAAATTAATTAGAATAAATTTATAGTGACTAGTTCACACAATGCTAGGTTAGTCTATTTATCGCGTTTAAAAATGCGCACGGCTTGGTTGCGGGGTCGGACCTCAGCGGCTGAAACTAAAAATTGCATAAAAAAGTCATGTTCACTTGGGGCACGATCGTCGCCTGTCCTAACTTCGTTACTATTAACGCCGGGAATAATATCAATTTCGTAATAAGCAGCATCCGGTCCGTGACCAACATGCACGTGCGACAGGCGGGGCGCTCCCTCCGACTGAACACCAGCGCCAAAAACAAGACTACCGTTTCCTTCGGCCCGAAAAAATTGTCCCGCATACGCTGACGTCACATCTGACCACGTGGATTTGGGCCACAGTGTTTTAGGATCAGTCTGACCCGGCAACTGGATGTATATAAAACCAACCGGCAATGGACAGTTTTTTAACAGTGCTATTTCAGCCAGTGCTTCATCGACCATGCGCTTATTTTCTCTAATCAAACGCTCCATTTCCTGACCGGACAATGCCACATAGCGTTTACATAGGTAAGCATTTTTCTTCGCACATGGTACATCTTGCCACTTGCCCATGTTTACTTGATCAGGTTCCATTTCCACGCAGTTTGTATCGTTAACCGGAAAGCCCTGCACCCAATTCTCATAGTCCGCGCGACTATTGTCCGTCCATACAATGTGTTTGCTTTTAATGGTTGCGTCGAGCCATACGTTTTCAATCATTTTGTATTTCACTATCAATTTATTGAGAAATTCTTGCTCTGCCTGAGAGTTAATGATAGGTAGCGTTGAGTTAAGTTCCCCCTTACACGCTGTGGCCACAGTGTGGTAGTCGCCCAAACCATCAGGGTAGTATTTGTAGCATATATCGTCATTTTCGTGATGAAATAGGTCCCAACCGTCACCACATACGCCCTCCGATTTAACTAGGTGGCCTAATATTGGTAAATAGTTACCGTAATAGGATATAATTTTTGTAATTTGTTATTTTAATATTTATTCAATAAATTGTATTCATACATGTAAAATACAAAACCAAAATTGCTAAATGTATAATATACATTTTTTATTTGCAATAATTATTTGTGAATATAAATTAGTTATTGAAATAATAATAATTATTGTATTTTTATCCATCGTATTTATACGATTATTTATCATAAATATTTAATCCATATTCTATGATGATCGAAATTTAATAAAAATGCTAAATCCCAAGTAAATAATTTTTTAATTAATTGTATTAAAATATTTCAAAGGTCAATTAATCATAATTCATTAAATTCATGGCATTTTAATATATAATTGCAATTTTTACCATATATCATTTGAGATAAACTAAGTCATTCAAAAATAAATTGATTCAATTGGTATCAACATTGTCAAGATAATTTGACAAACTGAATATGTGTAACAACTTATTAAATAAAATTTATCATTATTATTTAAACGATATATATATAATCCATGTTAATCCTATTCTTTGAGTACTTTGTTTACGCATAACTATTCACAATTATCATTATTATGAAATTTTTAGCTCACAAATAATTTATTTTATTACAAAGATTACAATTTAGTTGCTTGTGATCTGAGTTAACTCAGACACCTACTCTCAATTTAGTAATCACTGAGATTTATGTTTTCATATTTAACTTCAAAATAATTTTAATATTTAAATCTAAATACAGATACTGCAATACCAAGAAACGATATACATGTAACAATTTTAAAGGTTAAGTTATTTGGTTTTACATATAGTTAGGATATTTATTGCATATATAATTATACAACTAATGAAATACCAGACATTAAATAGCGTATGAATACTATTTTTTGTTATTTTTACAATGTAACTAAATTTTAATAGTTTTATAAATATTTCGCTTTGTTGTAATTATAATTGTATATCGAATGCAAATCAATCAAAGTCCGGGTCATTAACGCAACAATCAAGTGATTTTGTATTTGGCCCACAAAATGATGAAAAAATAATTGTTCTCTGCATTTATAGTATTAAATTATCACAAATATTTAATCCATACTTAACACCGATTTGAAATTTATATTAAATATTAATACCTAATTTTGAATTTATATATTAAAGATAGTTAAAATGATCATGCGCCTACAACTTATTGTTTTATCTCATTTGCGAAGTGAAAATATTTTTACTAAAGATTTTTTGAAGTGATTATTTTATTATTGGCATTCACTATTACCAATTAGTAGTAATTTGACAATAGTTTAGCGTAGATATAATAATAATAATTTTTATTTAGTCTTATTGTTAAGACAATGTTATACAGAACTTGTTGTATACATATTAAGAATTACATTTTATACACATTTATGATATACAGCTGGATTATACAGATGATCTGTATACATATGATTGGTTCTAATCTTATGATACATCGAGTATTCATAGCATATTAAATGCAACTTTGGAGTAGAATTTTGTAGACTTTTTATAAATGGACTGCAGTTGTGGTTGAATGAGAGGGTGACTCTTCTCAGGCTTAATGTGTAGATTAAACTAGATCTCTAAAGCAGATCTTGATTCAATATCATTAATTATAAGTTATAACCGACATCAAATGTAAACAAAGCAAACACATTTAATGTCGGTATTAAAAAACACAGTACGTTATTTATCGCGCCGGAAAATGCGCACAGCTTGATTACTGGGCCGCACTTCAGTCGCCTTAACCAAAAACTTTACATAAAAATCATCATTGTCTGGACCGGTAGCATCCCCTGTATGCACGTATGGACTATAAACACCAGGTACAATCTCATAATCTAGAGAATGGTCATATTTTCCATATTGACTAATTAAATGAGATAATCTGGGTGCGTCACCCGCCTGCACTCCTGCGCCAAAAGCTAGACTACCGCCCCCTTCGGCCCGAAAAAACTGACCCGCATATTGCACAGTCACATCTGACCATTTGGACCTAGGCCACAAAGTATTAGGATCGAGCTGGCCCGGCAAATGTACGTATATAAAACCAACCGGTAAGGGACAGTTTTTTAACAGTGCGATTTCGGCCAGTGCTTTATCGACCAGGTGATTATTTTCTCTGACCAAATGCTCCATTTGTTGACTCGACCATGCCACAAAACGCTTGCATAGATAAACATTTTTCTTGGCGCATGGTGTATCTTCCCACTTGCCCATGCTCACCTGGTCAGGCAACATTTCCACACAGTTGCTTTCGTTGGCCGGCCGCCCGGCCAACCAGTTTTCATAGTCAGCGTTACTACTGTCTGTCCATACAATGTGTTTGCCTTTAATGGTTGCGTCGAGCCATACGTTTTCAATCATTTTGTATTTTACTATTAATTTATTGAGAAAATCTTGCTCTGTCTGAGAGTTAATGATAGGTAGCGACGAGTTTAGGTCTCCCTTACACGCTGTGGCCACTGTGTGGTAGTCGCCCAAACCATCAGGGTAGTATTTGTAGCATATGTAGTCGTTTTCGTAGTGAAATAGGTCCCAACCGTCACCACAAACGCCCTCCGAATGAACTAGGTGGCCTAAATAAATATAGTCAAAATTTACATTAATAGGATGCAATTTTAGAAAAATTTGTTATATCAATAGTTATTTAATAAAATGTACGCATACATGTAAGATATAAAACCACAATTGCTAAATATATCATATACATTTTTTTAAAATTTTCAATAATTATTTGTAAATATAAAATAGTTATTGAAATAATAATAATTATTGTGTTTTTATACATTGTATTTATACTATTTATTTATCATAAATATTAAATCCATATTATATGATGATCTGAATTAGACAGATGTTACAAGTCTAGTCAACAACTTATTAAATGAATGGCATCACAACATCTCAAAGTGATGTTAATCATGATAAATGAAATTCATGATATTCTGAAAATAATTACCTGTAATTATTTGAGATAAAATGTTTAGACTTCAAATTCAAATATTATGTCATAGAATTAACAAATCAATTGATATGTAAAATAAATCCATTTAATTGCTATTAACAGTTTTAAGATATTAACAGTTATCACATTTTGAAATTCAGTAAATTTTATACATTATTTTCGTTAATAAATGCACAAATATTTAAAATTAGTGTAGATATTAAATAATTGTATCATATAATTATATTATGATTGTTAATATAATTGTGTTTATTATTTTGTTTTAATTAATTATAATTATTAAATTAATCATTATTATTTTAATAAAATTATAATCCATGTTGATTATTTTCTTTGAGTACTTTGTTTACCCATAACTATTTATTGTTATCATTATTATTATTTTAAATATTATAAAATTTATTACCTGATAAATAATGTCTACTGTTAATATTGGTATAACTGATAAGTCTTAGATTTCGTATAGATTTAATAAAGGTATCTTAAAGAAAGTAATTTTATAATTAAAGGTAACATTTCTAGACACCAGAAATTAAGTTTTATAAAGAATGTATCATTGGTCTGTATACTGAAAATTTTTAACCAAAGTCAGGCAGAATAATGTATTCCTATGGGAAGAGGTTTGTTTTTGTGATTACCGACGCTTGAAATCTCATGAAAATTGATCATTCTCAAAATATAATAGAGATAATAGAAAATCTCTACTCTTCCAATATGATCAATATCTAATGTATAGAATCAAATCATATTTAATGGCCAACTCTGTCCGGTGTCTGAACTGCGGCCACTTAATTATCGGTAGTCGACTCGATTGGCGGCATGTGTTCGGTTGCTTCGCATTTGATTCCCGTTATAAATAATGTTGTGATAACTGCTCTAAACTGTTGTCGGATAACCAATAGTGAACCCCAATAACCAAATAATAACTCCAAACATTTTTATGGTAAAAATATTTTTAATCGAAAAATATGTTTATTTTTGGTAAAAAATTTTGGGCTAAATTTTAAAGAATAATTCTGACTGGCACACTTTAAAAATTTCCAGTATACAGACCAATAATCCGATCTTTATAAAACTTGGTTTTTGGTGCCTAGGAATGTTACCTTAAATTATAAAATTACTTTTGTTGAGATACCTCTATTAAATCAAACGAAATCTAAGACTTATCAGTTATACCAATAATATGGGTTGTGAATCACAAATTGTGATTTAGTTTGTTGTGATCGGAGTTAACTCAAGCACTGGCTGTCAAATTAATGATCGCTGAGATTTGAGTCGTCGATAGTATACCTGTCATTAACTCAGGACTAAATAAAATTCAGAATAACACCAATCAGTCCAATACTGGTCGTAATGATCGTAACAAATTCACAAATAAAAATATTAAGAAAGAATTTTTCTATAAAGTTTTTACGACCATAATGAACATGGTACATTTATCGGTACATTAAATATTATATCATCATTATAGAAAATAAAGAAACATTAACACTTTATTGCTTTTACAATTATTTTATTAATATAAAAACAAATTATTACCCCATTGTCTGGTGATAACCCGCGCCGGTACTCATCCCTATAGTATTATTTATCTTTAAAATTTTTGTCACTAAATCAATGGATTATTAAAAATTACTTGAAAACAAAATACCGACATTTAGTTTTAACAATTTTTAATTTAAATAAATTATTTCTCAAAATTCATAAATATAATCTTAATTATTAGTCATAATTTTAAGCCATTTTCTGTTTATTAATTAGCGGTTCATTGAGTTGTTTAATATATCTTTCATCGCATTGAAAAGCTAAGCATTTAATAAAAGTTGTCGCGATTTGTGAAACAATTCAATACCTGTTAACCCTATTATTATAATTCATTTACCATCAATGATTTGTACATAAACAAACAGCTACTTGAATTCATGTAATTGAAAATTATTATAATTAATTGGAGCAAAAATATATTTATAAAATTAAAAGTAAATGCTATGCAATCACTCCCAGGTAGAGTGACCAACTCAAAACGTGAAAAATCGGGATTTTAAGTATAAAATTGCAATACATATCGGGATATTTCGGGATATTTTATATATGTCATCGGGATATTTTTCGGGATGCATGTATTTGTGTAGTGTAGTTCAATATAGTTTCATTATAATAATATGACTAATGTGTTGGACTAATCAATCATAAAGTGTTATATCCCGATTTTACCATATGAGAAACAACTTGACGAGAAATAGTCAACAGAACTAATAATACTAAATAATAATTAATATTTTTTGATGAAATTTAATAGAGTGTTTGAATAACATAAAACTTTTGTGTTTTATCAAATAAATAGTGTGAAATATTGTAAAATTTGATCGGGATGTTCTATGGTCCCGACGAGACCCTCGTCGGGACGCTGTGCAAAATGTGCGAAATCGGGATTATCCCGATGAAATCGGGAGAGTTGGTCACTCTACTCCCAGGCTATAAATGTCAGCTTTAATTGAGTGCCGGCGCTGCTGTTCTTCGGGAGCAATATATTGATCAGTGATGTATATTTAGTTCCTGGTATAATTGGTGTTATGAATACTGCTCTATGAGATTATCGTTAACTAAAAGTGAATACCAATAAATAAATTATAAATTCAAATATGTCTTGTAAAAATATTTTTATTTAAAACATGTGTTAAATTATGGTGAAATATTTTGGGTTAAACTTTAAAAAATAATTCCGATTTCTAATTATCATGTTGGTTATAGACTTATTGAATATTGACAATCTTACTACAGTATAACAGATATTGCCCAAGCAAAAACTAATCATATTAAATTATTTTTATTCGGTTGTATTATAAACTTTTTTACAATAAATTCCAAATTTATAAGTTTTTCGTACATAATAATAGATTAATTACCCAATTATTTATTATATTTCGGTAATTTTTAAACAGAAACAGGTCCGGACAAAAATACATCTATTGTATTAAATAAAATTATTAAAATAAAATGCAAACTTAAATGAATTTATTTGAAATCAATTTAGACAATAAAACATGATATCACATATTAATTGTAAAAGTATATGACAATTTTTAGATGAACCCAAAGTCAATATATAATTAAAAAATTTATACTATTAAAAAATTTATTTATTTGGTGCTAAATTCAAAGTTACTTATCGCGTTTGAAAAAGCGCACGGCTTGATTACGGGGACGCACTTCACCGGATGACACCAACATTGTAAGAGATTGTCGGTGTCCTATTAAACCAGCATTGTCACCTGTATATAACCATTGACTATAAACTCCTGGAGAAATATCAATATCTCGATTCATCCCATCATTATATTCAGCATGAACATGCTCCAATTTGGGCGCGTCACCAGGCTGCACTCCGGCGCCAAATGCTAAGCTACCACCACCTTCTGCGCGAAAAAATTGACCCGCATATACGG